ATTAGAAAGAGTTACAGCACGTGGTGCCCGGCTGTGTGATTTACGAGTGCCCTGCTATATAATATATTGCAGTGTTGCTAAGCTTCAATACATTATATGCATTTTCGTCTATCATTCAATGTGTTTTACTAGGAATTAGAAGTTAGTCAGTATAACAAGACTGAAGAGTAGCCAACTGGTCCTGTTCCGACTTCATGCATGGGTCACCATGTGGTATCCATTTCGTATATCTTTCAATGTAAAAAAAAAAAATGATAACGTTCTGGATAATGAATCTTTAATAAAGATTCACTAGATAGATTTTCTTATATGCATATGCTTAATTGTAAAAATTATCTGATGACAAATTATTTTACATTTAAAATCGATTAGCAACAATGATTTTTTGTTTGGTTTTTAATTTACCTTTACTGTGTCCTATTTATAAATAATATTCAAGAAACCCGGGATAAAATATCCCCAGAGAGTTGATCTAAAGTAAAATTGTATAAACCAATATGAAAAAACATTTTAAGTACTCAAGTATAAAAGTTTTGTTTTAAGAAATAAATTGCATGTATGTCGACAGTGTAATTTATAAACATTTTTCTATAATCTTACGGTCTGTTGTTGTGATACTAATTAATCCATCTCCGATTTTGACATAATAGTAACATCCATTATATATATATACATATATTTTGTCTTTCATACACAATACTTTAATAAGGATATGAGTGTCTGAAAAATAAGTCAGGATGTAATCTATACATGTAATACACTCATATATTATGCCTGATCGACAGGTATATCATTAAAACGTGTATATAAGATACATAGGTATTATATTATTTTATAATTGGATATTGAAGATTATTTTACATTCTCACGAACAAGAGCCGCGTATAGGCACATCACCTCGGCCATAACAATCGTCAAACGGTAATCTAGACTTGTATTTTTTTTATACCCACTACTATGTACTATTGTCTACGAGGGCTCTAGGTAAACGCGCGTCCGGCGGTTCGAAGACAATATTAGATGTCCTGAAACGAGACGTGAACCGTCGGGGTTAGACGGATAGGTCTTAGGTCTATACAATACACGCGGGGCACGGGTTATCTTGGCCGAGCACGTTACATACTGCACTGCAGTATAAATACTATATCATATACAATGGGTTGGTTTTCGTGCAAGGTCCAAACGTTTATGTGAAGGATTGCGTTTTTGGGGTCGGACCTCAATTTTCTGAACAATTTGTTTGTACACGACGGATGTATCCAAACACATGTTCTTGGTGTCTGGCGTTATGTACAGTATTATACAGGGTTACGGTACCTAGAGTATATACGGTGTTGTTGCGCGTTGTTTGGACGTGAGCACGACAATGGGGCCGACCGACCTAGATATCCTTCTCACGGGCCTTTGCGGTCGACACCGCGCCGCTCTTCTTCGGGCGCGTCTTTTGATTTACTACTCACTAACCGGCCGCCCCGGTACATAATGCACTCGCATAAATCCATTTATCATAATTTACCCGTAACGGTACATGCTGTCCTCTGATTTTTTTCCTCTTCTTCTCTAGGTCGACCGACATAAATCCACGTGACCACGCCCGTGTTTAGACTTTGTTTGGACAACAACATACGCCGAACAGAACCGTCCCGTTTTGCCGCGTAGTCTGTTGCTAAATTCCGCCGACGAACGTCTCCTTGTAATGTGTAAGTGTAACAAAACTAATGACATCCTATAGTCTGTACGTTTCACAGTCGGCGAGCAGTGTATCCATCTCAAAGGTAAGCACAGTACATACAGTACCTATAAAAACATAGTCTTTGACGTGTTACAACTTGACGATAATCGCTGAAATTTAATTAACAGTCTCTAATTAGCTTGCAGCTTAATCGTTTAATTGTAATACATGTAGTAGCCGCTGTCTTTGGCCCAACGCATCGTCTGCATTGCTCTTCCAATATAATGTATATGTATATCCTAGTATTTCCTATTTCATAATGTTATTATTTTATAGTTTATATGAAAAATTCTACAGGTTAAAAACAACGTGCATTTCCCGTATTTTTATACGTCTATAAGCGGCCGACAAAAAAAGTCAATTGTAAATTATTTTTTATTATATTTTTATTCTCTTTCTGAGTACTTTGTTACGGTGTTTTAATTGCCACAATCGCCCGGAACGCGCACCTCGGCCGGTCGTTCATCGTTATATTATTATATTTGCATCGCTTAATGTGAGGTTTCTTTTTATACGGCAAGTTTATGTTTTGTATACATAACAACAACAACAACAAGTCTCCTGTGCCCGTTTGTGTGTGTGTAGTGAAAATGAGTAGCGCAATAACCGTAAAATACGTTTTTATTATCTGGGCCGAAATTGCCACTTCTATCCTCCCTCCGCATGGTGGATATAGCTGCTCGTTGATCGGCGGCCACGACCAGTCAAAGTGCTAGTACTATATAGTGCGGTAAACGTGTCATTTTTACAACGCCTTAATGACGAGGGGGGCCATAGAAAAAATTTTACGATCAATTTTATTGCTTCTCCTCGCCACCGTCTTATCCTTTATATGTAACATAATATACATTTACACAACACGACCTACGACACGCTCCACACAGATTGAGGTTGGCTGCGCGTGGCCCGATTTACAGTTTTTCCCTAAAGTCACGCCTGTGTATTATAAACGTCTAATGATAATATGTACTTGTAATCGTAGCAATTATTGCTGTACACAATGTCGAGGTTAGTGCGCTATTGTAACCCTACATAGGTACAAGCTTCTTCGCCTTATCCCATGTAAATAGTTTCAGGCCGCTAGGCACCATATGTACCATTTGTGAAATAAATAACATGAATTTATCAATGCTAACGAATTAACGAAATCAAAATCTAAAACAAGTGATTGGACAGCGTAGATAAAAATAATTGCAGTCACAAAATTAATTTGAAATATTATAGTAGGTAAATTATATCAATACTGTTATTAAAAACGTTTTATTCAAAATAATAGTTTTCATCTGCGCAAATGTTAAATTAACAAAATTAGTATTAAACAAAAAAATATGTTTAATTCAATTAAATTCTGGATCCTAAATAGTAAATCTACAACGGGTATTGTTAAATTAAATAAAGTAACCCACAAGTTAAATCAACACATGTTTTATTGGACGTATATTGATAATGATTTAATCTCAATCAGCTACTATTTTATTGGATTTATTTGATTCAGCTTATAATAATACATATGTATTATGTTGCTTGTAAAACTATAAAGCATCCGTGTAAACATAGGTTGTGCTATGACTTTGGTCGCTATCTTCTTCTCCGTCTTATCCTATGAATAATAAATAATAATTTTACTCTTTAGTATAATTTTTTAAACGGACAACTATGTAAATATTTTGCTTAAGTGGCGTAATTTGTAAACAAATGGTACGTCCGCTGTTAGAAATAATAGGTGTTCTGTATATATGTATACCTATACATACAATTATACAAATTATTTTTATATGTATCTCGGATATCGGAAATAGCTTATACTGTGTCGTTACAGGAATATATCATATACATGCGTTGCCTCTTTATATTTTTGTTACACACACATAAAAACACAAAGTATTTTTATATATGTTTCATCTACCTACATACTTATATGAGTACTATGGTACAATGCACAGTGTATCGTTTTTCGCGTGTCACTTCAATTACTACTAGGTACCTCTTCCGCCGGTTCGAAATAAAATTAATTTAAACAAAAGGCCGAGCTTTACAATTTATATAATGCGGGTAATAACTAAATACTGTGTGCGTTATCGAAGCGCTGGAAATAACTTCCAAAAGCCATTCAAGGCGTTTTATTTATATTGAGTGCATGTAATGGAATACACAGCTAATGGACTTAACTATAGCCTAATCCGATAATGTCGCAATAATGTACTATGACAACGCCCGTTAGCTTTGCGTTGATTTATCATAAAAACGATAACGGTCATAATATAACAAAGGTATTGAATGTATAATTCTATATTAAGCTTTCCTAAACGCCTGTTTAAAAGGCGTCGAGTAAAAATGCTTGAAATGTATTTAAAAATTTAAAAAGTTTTTTATGGTCACATATTAGGTTTCACATCACGAAAGTCGGGTTGCACACAATTGGTTTTGAATTGAACGGTGGTTCATTATAAACTTATTGGAACAATCATGGACTACTATAAATAAAGTTAAATGCATCGTTAAATGTCTATATTGTTACAATAAACCTTTAAAATGAACGTTCGTGCAATCCGACATAAGTTGTTTTTTTTTAATTTATAGAATGAGACATTTTAAGCAAATTGTTTAAATATGTTACAACGAAAACTTTTGTTTGACATAATATTGTGTCTTCTATTTGGACGCCTACGGTTTTTGTAGATACAAAATATTCGACACATAGGTAATAACCATAGTTCTATACCTAATATTTGTTATAGTATGATATTATTCGACTACAAAAGGTGTCGGAAAATTTCAAACAATTCATACACAATTATTGTATGCACTCTTACTCTGGTTACACTAACACCATATGTATAGATATATGGTCGTACCTACCTATATGTGTATACAAGAGCTATTCAGGGAATTTCGATTGTCCAATATTTTTGCGACAAACCGTGTAAGGAGGGCGACCCGACTGATTTTTCGTTTTCAATTAAAAATCATTGTATATACCACTTGGACCATTGTGTAGTTTTTTTCCACTCGACTTGATCATTTTTTTACATCACCTTGTGTACGGTTTTGTTTGGAAAAAATCCCATATTGTCGGATCCCGCGCACCCCATAAATATATATATATATATATATATATATAGAGAGAGAATTTTTTCGCTACAATAGGATACCGCTCGGGTATAGTAGCCAGTATAGGTACCAATACGAACTCGGCGTACAAAGAACGACAAACCGAGCGGACATTTATATGTGTAAAAAAAAAAAAAAATTCTAAAAAAATACCCACACAAAATTCCTAGTTAGTCTGCGTACGCGGCAGAGGGGAATCCGAAAACCTTTTGTCGCCGTGGCTCGCTGACGTTCATGGCCGCCGCCCCGGCTGTCGAATAACTCAACCCGGGGACACGCCCATCCCGGTGCGCGCGCCTGGAAGCCATCTTAGCACACATCCAGAGTAGTCCCGGTCGCCGTAGATCGATCCCGCCGTCACACACAGTCACAACATTGTCCCCGACACGGTTGTAAAAAAAAAATAGCAAAAATACAACGTAAGCCTACATATTGTATTATTATTAAAAAAACACTGTACTTACCCGGGCATTTACACAGATAGGCAATGATGTAGGCGGCATCAGACGAGTGCATAATAATATAGCGGAGCAGAGAAAATATTCATTTATAACACTCGTGCCAGAACATATTATGCAAGACTGCGGGTCGCACCACACACGAGAGAGGCATCGATTGCCAACCGGACCTATATAATATAACAAACATGGCTGTCCCCGGGTTTATCGCAGCATATACACATACTCGGTCGTAAAAAAAAAAAGAAATAATAATAATAATAATAAAAGGCCATCGCTGCAGCTATACAACGTTTTGTCGATTTTACCCTGGTTTTTTTCCTTCTTTCCTTGCTTTTCTTGCACCGACAAGCGGCCACGGTGTTACCGCCGTCCGGTGCAGTGCTCAGTGCGGTCGTGAGATGGTCGTCGTCTGTATCCGAGAACGCCGATTGTTAAAAAAAAAAAATAATACTAAATAAACAAATCCGTCGTTTTAAAACATATTCAAAAACGTTCGCGTTGTAACCTCAACGTTTTGCATGTTCCACATTGGCCAATCGGACGCAGCCTGTAGATAGCGCCGGCTATGAGTTTTACATGCGGTAAGTCCGGTATGACGCTCTGGTAGCTCAACGGTAACCACTGCGGTTCCCCCTCCCTGCGTCCTCTTTTGTTCCATATTTCTTCAAAGCTTCGTTGACCAAAGTAGGTTTTGGTTTTCCCCATTGGCTTGAACTTTTAGATAATATACCTAATCTAACCGTATGGTACGACTACCATACGGTTTTATCCGTTAACTCGAAATGTATCCACGTGTAACGTTTCTAAAAACTTCTCTGTACTAAAGTGCATCACTTATAATTAATCTTATTTCTATCATAATAATGGAAATGTAGCTGTTGAGTTATAGCGCTTTAGGTGATTATTATAAATCCTCTGCGACATCTCATTTATTTGACTTAACATAATACACGCGGGTACAAGATTAACATGCCTGTTATTGAAGTGTTATCAATACAGTATTTATCATTCAAACATTTTTTACTACAATAGTATAGAAAAAATAATATCCTATGTAAGAGCATTTCAATAATTCAGCGGCATTTTCTAAATATTTTCAATTTTTTATCGCCGTTTTTAATAGGTATATAAGTACACAATTGCTGTTTTTGTTGTTTACCTATACTATAATTATATTTTTGTAAGTAGTGTTTTATTATTTCCAGACTTGCATGCTTTCGTTTTTATGCATTATTCATGTTATTAATGATTACACGATGCGTATAAAAGTATTACAGGTAGCGTTTAAGGTACACGCACATAACTAAAAGAAAATATTATATTTTTCGTTTCGAGAAAAATAACATATATGTATAAAATATAATTTTATAGTATGATGCACTCGTCGTATTATTTTACTTAAACGCGTTTTACATATTAATTCCTTGTGGCAAGATTTAGGACGCCTAGAGCGTTATCAGCGGTTAAATCTTTTTTTTTAAATGATAAAGTGCGTTAACCATGTTGGCATTTTTTTCTCATGGTCATATGACCTTGATTTGTTTGTGTATATTTAGGTATATGTTGTTCGTATAATAATAATATACATCATTTGTCGCAATAATTATTATCATAATATTATAGAGGTACCTATATAGGTACATTTACTACCTAAGTCCTAATCACAATATCATAGTATTCAAAAGAAGTTTAATATAGCTTTAGTTTGATAGGACCTATTCAAAACGTTATGTCACATATTCATTTCATGTAGTGACTGTTTTTGAACTGTTTATGAACGAACAAAGTAATTCTGAGTAGGCGTGCACCTACCGTGTGCTTAATGTGATACTTTCATGTGATACGGCATTTAATAATTCTCATATAGAAAACCTGTATGAAATAAATTATACATTGTTACACCCAAAAGCAGGCAGCTAGCGGATTACACAACGTTAAAAAGGGTTATCTAAAATGTACATCTATAATTTCTATGTTTTTAACGAGAAAAACAAGTTATAGATATTGTTTTCCTCGAAATGGATTTTTAATAAAATTATAATTTCATATTTTTTCAACCCAACACATTAATAAAAGACAAGTTAAAATACTCATTTTATTCCAAATTAATACCTACTCGGTTTTCATTGACAAAAAAAAATCAGTTTCTCAACAGATATTGTACATATTTAATGACTTCTGCCGCCATTTATTGTAAATGAATAATGCCATAGCTACTTCCTAGTTTAAACAATTTTATGCTTTGAACAGCTAGGAATAAATATTAAAAATTGCTAAAAAGGATGGCCAACTATATTGAAATATTAGATCATTGTGATCATTAGAGTAATGGAAAAATACAATATTTCCGCTAGGCTAATGACCCCTAGGAAGCGATAACTTATTTTAGTACAAAAAGGAGTAAACACATTTCACGTTAATAATTGAAAATAAATTAAAATAGTATAAGAAAATACATCATTATTTAAACTAAAGTAATCTCTAAATCGGGCAGTGTTGAAACATAAATGGTGTTTAAAACATCGGTATCATTTATAATATGTGCGAACACTTAACATTTTCTCAGTATTATTAAATCTATAGTAAAAATAATTATTACAGTATAAAATAAAGCTTACCTACTTTTATTTATAACAAAATGACTCACATTATAATACCTTCAAAGCAACAGTGTCAACAATGCTAGCGTTTTTATATTTATATTTATTATATTATTATCATTTATCACCATAGACTGCAACTCTTTGATATCAAAACACTTGTATGTTCGAAACATGTATTGGATATTATGTGACTCGAAATTATTGCTACTTAATATCTCATCTAAAACAGAAACAGCTGTCTTTCAAAATTCACAGACGTTATACCGTTAGTTGACATTGGTATTGAGATAAGGTTAAGAATAATAACACCGTCTCGCCTACAGTTTAATAACCTTCCAAATTAATTTAGGCGCTCTTTTATTGTTCATTTCTCGACGAGACCGTCGCTACGATGGTTTATTTAAGTTAGTTAAAAGAATAACATTGACGGTTTGTTTGGCATTGAATGAATCTAAAGCGTGGTATCAGGTTTATCCAGTTTGTTGTTTTTTATCTGAAATTGAACCTACATAAGTATAAGTATAAGTTTTTTTTTTTTTTAGTATGTCTACGTCGTTTCTCGGCCGAAACGTCTTGCAACGTACAGTAGACAGTTTTTGGAATTTTAAATGAATTACAGGATTATTCACTAATTGTATGTTGATTAGCCTATTGTAGACGAACCGGACATCAGTATTAAATATTATGTAAGTAAAACAAGTATCTTATCAAGATAAATGTTAACCGTTTTGACTTTGGTTCAAGTAATCGCAGTTCCATAGAGGTGATCTCAGCGCCTACTACTATGCACATTTTTCAAGCTCGGCTATTTGCTGGTTTTTTTGTTTTTCTTATTACATTGTGCACATAAGATAAGTGGAATTTCTGACCTTTTTTTTTATTTTGCTCGGTAGCGAATGAATATAAAATCCACCGATAGCCGTATAGTGCCTTGTGGAATGGGGTGTCATGCATATATTAGACCATTGTTTTTGCCAGTGGTATGCCGGCTATAGTCCCCCCAAGTCCATTGCACGAATGCGTGCAATTCGCACCGGTAATCCTATATTGGCGAAAGGGGAATAATTTCACATACACTCACACTCGAGGTATAGGCCGTTCGACCTTATATATATACATACATTTTTTTACCACATTTCCTTTCGATTTCACTGTGTCCGTTCTGCGATTGAATATTATCTATATTGTCTTTACGGTACTTGAACTCGATTAAATGGCACGGCGTAGTACCTACTGTTTAGAATAGGAATAAAAAGCTGTTAAATAGCTGTTGTAGCATGCCACGAAGAAACGATTAAAACAATATCCCACCAACAATGTAAAATGTAGTAACCTTTCCCTTTGGTTTTACTTTAATGTGCTTAGGTTACTGGGGGCTGTGCAAAATAATTGTATATAAAAAAGTATGATATATCAACAGTGACGCTGTTTGTCTTCTACTTGAACAATATAAAAATAGTACCTAAATCTAATAAAAAAAAATGACAGTTTATTAAAAAAATGTTCACTAAAATACATCCAAATAAAATCTTCATCGATTGAGAAATAATGTATAATGGTTGATTTAACAATACTCATTTTTTATTTACTAGGTATGTTAAATAATAAACAGCATTTTGAGGATTTATTTGAATCGACAATATAGGTACATTTATCGATTAAATAACGATAATGATAGTTTATTATTAGCGCAGATAAAAAGTTTACAATTATATTTAAATAAAGAAACATACTTTTGAAATTTTACGAGTTTTGTTGATTTGGCAAATTAGTTTTTCTCTAACTAATATGTTATGTTTTGAAAATCTTTAATGCTCATTTCTTATTATGAGAGCAAGTATTATGCAAATATTTCCATTATTAGTCATTAGCTATATAATATTAGGTAAATTACCACTGATACAGTAAGAAAAGATTGTTGTAATAAGTAAAGATGGTTGGTTTTTTGAGATATCCAATCATGTTTTATCTTAATGTTTTACTTATAATATATATTGTGATATATTTTCTGTATTTGCATTAAAAAAATGTTTTTGCCGTCTGGGATATTCACCTTTTTTTTTTTATTAATACTTTTTTGTCTCTTCATCCTTACAACACAATATATTGCAATACAGCCTTTTAATGTTCAACACTTTTCTCATGTACAATGAAGAGCAATTTAAAGAGGCTCAGAGAGGTTTATTTATACATTCTTCAAAACCTCTTTGCGGGCTTCTCTTTAAAATGTGACAAACATATTTTCCAAGATACATTCGATAAAACGTATTTTTTAATAAATTAGGTACCGTTTTGAGAGTTTATTATCGTTGCACGCCGGCTTTGCAAGGCGCTACTGGATTTGACAAATTATTATTTTATTCCAATAATAACTCTTAAAAGCGGTACTCGGATACGTTGTTTGCAACATTTGTGTCGTTTCGAATATTGGGTAGATAACTTTTCCCGGAGGTCCGCCCAAACCCGTCACGACAACCGTCCGGAATGTGTTCCCCGCAGTGGTTCAACCTTATATTATCATAGTATAATATAATACAAAGAAAAGAGGCAGTTCTTCTTCTTTAAACGTCGGCGCGCCACAAGAAAAACGTCTTGGGCAAGTGCTGTGTTTTTTTTTAACGAGAGATATTTATAGGCGTACAACAACGCGACCTTAACAAAAATACAAATGATTTAAGTTCCAGACTACTGCGCGTTAATTCTTCGACACATCCCAGATGACGAAAACGGCTCGGGCCGAGTAAATATTTTTAACGTGACTTCTGTGAATAGATTATATAGGTAGGTATATATTCTGCGGCTAACAATTTTTAACTTTATACCAGCAAATATGTTAGAAATGTAAAACGTGTTTTGTTGAAGTAGGGTGGAAAATATATTGTGTGTCTTGTATGAAATGTTTTTTTTTAATTTTTCCAACTACTTGATCACATTGCTTTTTAGGCAGTAGTATTTTTGTTATTTAATCGATATAATAA